ACTCCTCCTGATTTTTTCTGTGTAATGAGTATTTATATGTAATACAATCTTGTTATTACCTAATGTGCTAAGATATCAATTTCTTCCCCTATTAACTGAATGAGGAAATTCTTGTGGAACGCTTAGCAATGTTGTCCATGGTAACAAATCCCAATAAATGAAAATTTAAATGGAGCTAATTAATATATGCATTACCTCCGCTTAATTTTTTTTTTTTTTTGGTGAAAGCTCTTAAACTCAGGATTTTCAAGAATACAATACATTGTTGTTAACTACAGTCACGTTTTTGCACAGTAGATCCCTTGGACTTATTCTTCCTAACTGAAATTTTATATCCTTAGACAACATTTCCTAAAGCCCTTACCTCCCATCTCCCCCCTCCAGCCCGTGTAAATCACCCTTCTACCCTCCGTGACTTCAACTCTTTAGATAGCCCATATAGGTGAGGTCTTTCTGTGCCTGACTAGTTTCACTTAACATAGCATCTTCTGGGTTCATCATTGTTATTACAAATGACAGATTTCCTTCTTTTGAAAGACCAAATAGCGTTTGGTTGTGGATATATGCCACATTTTCTTATCCATACATCTGTTGGTGGATGCTTAGGTTAATTTCAGATCTTGGTGGTTATAAACAATGCTGTAGTAAATGTGGGGTTACTAATTTCATTTGGCATACTAATTTCATTTCCTTTGGATTTACTCCAAGTACTTAAATTCCTGGATCATATGGTAGTCTTATTTTTAATGTTTTTGAGAAACTTCCATATCCTGGTTTCCATAATGGCTTTACTAATTTACATTCCCACCAAGGGTATACAAGTGTTCTTATTTCTCCACATTCTTGCCAACACATTATCTTTCATCTTTTGATAATAGCCATTCTGACAGGTGTGAGGTGATATCTCATTGTGCTCTTAATTTGCATTTCTCTGATAATTAGTTGTGTTCAGCATTTTTTTTTTCATATACTTGTTGGCCATTTGAATGTCTTCTTTTGAGAAATCTCTCTTTGAGTCCTATGCCCACTTTTTAAATGGGTTATTTATCTTCTTGTTGTCGAATTGAGTTCTCCATATATTTTGAATATTAACTACTATGTTTTGCGAATATCTTCTCTCATTCCATAAGTTATCTCTTCTTCTGATGATTGTTTACTATGCAGAGCCTTTTTAGTTTTCTATAATTCTCATGTGTTCCTTTTTACTTTTATTGTTCGTGTACTTTCTGGGTCATATCCCCAAATCCTTGCCCAGACTGATGTCATAGAGCTCTTTCCCTATGTTTTCTTCTACTAGTTGTAAAGTATCAGCTCTTTCATTTAATTCTTTAATCTAGTTGAGTTGATTTTTGTATATGGTGTGAGATAAGATTTAATTTATTCTTCATATGGATGTCCAGTTTCCCCAGACATCCATTTATTAAAGAGTCTATCTTTCCCCCATATGTGTTCTTGGCACCCTTGCTGAAAATCAATTGACTATTAATGGGTTGATTTATTTCTGAGCTCTCTAGTCCATTCCATAGGTCTGTGGGTATGTTTTATATGCTAGCAACATGCTGTTTTCATCTGTTTCAATACAATAGCTTTGTAGTATATTTTGAAGTCAGGTTTTGTAGCACTTTTACTTTGGTTTTGTTTTTGTTTATGCACAAGAGTTCTTTGTTTATTTTGTAGTCCTATGGGAATTTTAGGGGTTTTTGTTTGTTTGTTTTTCTCTATTTCAGTGAAAAATTTCATTGAGATTTTGGTAGGGATTGTGTTATATCTATAGATCACTTTGGACAGTATGGGCACACTAGCAAAATTAATTCTTCCAATCTATGAATGGGGGATATATTACCATTTATTTATGGTTTCAATTTATTTTATTAATGCTTCATAATTTCCAGTGTATAGTATTTCATTTCCTTGGTTTTATTTATTCCTAAGAGTTTTATTTTTTTGTATCCATTATAAATGAGATTGTTTTCCTTATTTTTTTTCAGATAGTTTATTATTAGTGCATAGAAATGCTACTGATTTTTGTATATTGATTTTGTATTCTGCCACTTTACTGAATTTGTTTATTAATTCTAACAGTCTTCTGGTAGAGTCTTTAGGGATTTCTATAGAGAAGATCATATTGTCTGCAAACAAGGACATGTTAACTTCTTCCTTTCCAGTCTGAATGCATAAAGTCATTTCTGACCATATTAAAAAATAAAAATAAAAACAAAGTAAAGTCAACTCACTGAATTTTTTAAATAACTAATAGAAATTGACTTGAAAAGGGGTTTTATTTCATTCCTTTTTTATGGTTTTAAACCCTAAAACTGACTATAGAACAAATTCATCTTTCCATAATAAGCATTAAACAAAGCCCTATAAGAAGATGAAATATTCTTAAGGGCACAAATCGGTAGTGCCTTCAATCCTTTTTTGGAGCACAGAAGGGAACAGGTTTTACCTTACCATATGTCTGCCATAGTGTTGAGAGTACCTTTTGTATACATATGTATTTATTTGATTGATTAAAAAATGCCCTTTACCTTCAGAGCCAGAGGAACCATTTTCAGAAGCATGTAGATAATCAAAATGTTTTCACATCCTGAACACCAAAGAAGCACCATCTTTTGGTTTATTTACTATTTCTTTCTAAATATTTTCATTTTGAAACTATCCCCCAAAGGTAATAAACAAGGCCCATATTAGGCCCCAGGGAATAAGAAATTCAGCAGGATTGTCCTGCACATGGAGTCTGCCTCCAGGTTAAGGCTCAATGAGGTTAAGTTCAAATGGTTTTGCAACTCGTTCATGCAAAACCATGGAACTTTCTCATCACCCTGCTTGCCATAAACTCACAAAGAAAGCATATCTGTAGGGGTTTTTCTTTCTTAAGGTTTTCCCTGCCCCAGTCCCATTACTATGTATCAGCAGCTTGAGAGGCATTGATGAGGTGGAATTGGTAGGAAGATTTTGATGGAACAGTTGACGTATGAGCAATTATTGGATAATGAGGGGTAGGTTTGAGATCTGTGCTGCATGGAAAGAGAAAGAAAGGACATAGACCAAGACTGACTTTCAAATTCCTACAGAATTCAGTATTTTAGAATAAATGTTTCCTATCTCATTTTATATGCCAAGACATCAAAACGCACATTGGTTAAGTAATTAGCATCAATCAAAAGTTCAAAGTTGAAAACAAATTGAGATAATTGAATAGTGTAACTGAAGAAACACCCTTCCCTTGTATTCGAAGGGTTGTTTGTACAACCATTAAAAATAACTATATATTAGTAGGACCAAAATAATATGTATGGTGTTTAGATATAAGCACATTTTGTTTCAGCTATTCAACCCAAGGCTTGCTCAGGAAATTCACCCATGGTAGATAATTTAATGCACAGTTAGCATGAAATTACTTTTTGTGTGTGTGTGTTGCTGGGTATTGAACCCAGGGGCACTCTGCCAGTGAACTACATCCCCATCCCCTTTTAATTTTGTTTTTGAGACAAGATCTCAGTAAGTTGCCTAAGCTGGCCTCAAACTTGTGGTCCTCCTGCCTCAGCTTCCCAAGCTGCTGGGATTACAGGCATACAGATCACAGATCCTTACTTCCTTTGAATCACACAAAATATTTATGGGTTCTTATCAGTTGTTGCAAAGTTCAATTTAAAACCCCATTCTTGGCCCCATGGAATGAATTATATTTGCAGGATCTTAATTTTCTTCACCTTATTGTTTCCAGTGCAATTTATAGCACTCTCCAAAATCCCATGCCAACATGGGTTAGAACAAAATGACATATTTTATGGCATCTTTCCTGAATAAATGTCTTTGGGGCCATGCATTTATCCACATTACATGCAAAAAGGGGATCGGATGGTATTTGGCTTACTAAGTCCTAGAATCAGAAAATTATGGAGTTTTTTTTAGATTTTTTTTATTTAATTTTTTTATTAGCTACACATGACATTACAATGATCTTGGAAATTCATACATTTGAATCAATTGGGGTATAATTTCTCATTTTTCTGATTATGGAGTCTTTATTAAGGCCATTGAGGAAGGTAAATGAAGCTACCTTTATTGAGCACCTACAATGTTTCAGGTAGTTTACATATATACCTTCTAATTATCACAGCCCAGAGAAATGGACAATATTATCACTATTTGGTAGAAGAGAAAACTGAAACTAAGTGTATCAAACCAGTTTTTTTTTTTTTTAAGTTTACCCAGGTTGGATTTTAAAATCTGACTCCAAAGACCATATTCTTCCTATCACACCACAGCATGTTGTCTTTGTGTCTCAAGAATATTTATGTTCTTGAAATATAAAAAAGAATCATTGGAGTTCATGGCCCTTTGTTATAAAGCACAAAGTCATGTCCCATTTTTTAGTGGAGGCTCCTCAGTTTTCTTGATAATTGAATCCCCAAGCTCAGTATTTGGCATGCCATCTAGAAAAAACATAGAAAGCTAGATAGGAGAAGGGGGAAGAAATAAGGAAAAACAGAATTTTGCAATTGAACATCTGGTGGTAACTCTCAAAAGAAGGGGAAGGAAGATACTTGGTTTTCCTGCCATATTTTTCTTTTAAAAGAAAGAAGGGGTAGCATGCGGCAAAGGGTAAATAGAGAATATTCATGTTGTGATAATTAGCAAACAGAGCCAAGGAGAGCTGGCTTGGGAGTTGCGTCTCCATCTCCCTGGTCATTGTACCCTGCATGGAAAGGGAGGATTCAGTTTGGGTTTCAGGCTTAGAGTTGTCATGCGAGAAGTGTACATTAATTTCATATTTTCTCATAACTTTCTTTTGGGGATAAGCATTTGGTTTTCTGCTGTTTATTATTTCAAAGGCATCTATATGCTAATATGCTTTATGCTAATTATTTTCATGTTTGCCCCTCAGGTTATGCTTCATATCACCCACCAGGGAGGATCATCTCTCATGAAAACTTTCAAATTTGATTTTGAAAATTATTCAGAAAAAATTAAGCCATGCTCTCTCCTAACAGGAAATAATATGCTCTGGAGAATCCTGTAATTCAAAGAAAATGGACTGGGATAACATTTGGCTTCTCATACTACCAAAATCCTCTTGAGAAGGACAGCCAGGTACACAAAGCATTTATAACATTGTGACATTGAAATGTTGGAAGAATGATTAAAATAAAAATCTTAATAATAGGCTTTTAGAAATTGCTAAATTACACTGTTTTATTCAGAGAGGGGAAAGAAAGGGCTGTTTTCATTCTCTCACAGCGTTTGAGGTGTGTTAACTGCTTCTACTGCTATAAATAATACCATGTTTTAATTGAATGCCATTGTTTCTTAGCATCATTTCTAGAAAGTTAATTCTAATGATATTAATGCCTGAAGCTGAGTTTATGCTTACAGGAAGAATCAGGTAAAATGGAAATCTCGTATAATAAGCGAGCTTGATGTTTTCTTCCAGTGCTTTTATTACAGAGATTTTGTGTGTGTGTGTGAAATTATAACTTATTTTGAAGATAGAAGTTAGCCAATTAGCCTACGTTAAAAATATTTTTCAGGCACCTTTTTTTTTTGAAGATAAACAAGGCTTATAATATAATTCCTTGACATGAGATATTAAAACTTTGATGATTGGGAAGGGTATTTTTTTACCTCTCCCTTGGACAGAAATTGGACTCCTTTTGTTCCCAAGCACTTCAGGGGTTCCTAGAAAAGACCTCATATTACATTCCTCTGTATTGTTCTCTGCCTTGCTCTTTGCTTCAGAAGAGCAAGGAGCCAGAAACAGTGGGGGATTCCTACTGCAGATTTAAGCTCATTTCCTGGTCAGCCTCCTCTTTGCTTGCTTTTTCCTAACTCTACTTTTGTGGAGCTGCCCCTAAGGACCTTTCTGTTTTTTTTTTTAAATGCTTTTGCTGTTAGACGTTAACAGGGACATCACTCTATAGGAAGTGTAGCCTCACTGCTGATATTTCTCCTACTGATTCATTTTAATGCCTCCTGAGCTCCAGCAGGCCTTGTAAGTAGGAGAGTTTCCTTTCAGGATTGGAAGAAAGATCTGCTTCTGCAAGGGGGGCCTGACAAGTAAACTAGGCTCTCCCCAGGAAGCAGGAGATCAGAAGGAGCCTACCCAAGGCAGGTGAAGACAGGGACCTGCCCAACATGTGCTGGGGTGTTTCACTTACAATCATAATCTATATAAATAGGAAGAGTCATTGCTAGGGAGATAGTTGGTAAACTGGCTAGAATAAACATTTGTCAAATAATGATAAAATAACATTTTATTGGAAGCTGGTAATGTTTGCTACATTTTATTGCAATCAAAGAACCTGCAAGGTTTTATGTGCCCAACCCTTGTGACCCATCATCATTTTCTTTTTATTCTACTTCTTTGCCTGTAATAATAACAAAATAGCTACAGATTTTCCCTTTTAAAGTTGTATTCGAAGAATGATTCATTAAACTAACACATTTGGCCTTAATGCAGCCCCAGCTAAGATGAAATTTTATCTTCTTGCTCATCTCTGAGCATAATTTAGAGATAATTCAAATAGAAAAGCAATTTGTGTGCCATTAGGCACCACAATTTATTAGGTGCCAGTGAACTACACAGCCTGATTAAGAAGGCTGCTATTTGTTTGTGATTCTCTTCGCCAACTAAGTTCTATGAGGAAAGGAAAGACACCAGGAAACAACCATTTGTGGTAGCTCTGGAAGGTGGTGGACATTGTGGACTTTGGCATACGCAGGTGGGCAAGGCCCAGGGTTCATAGGCAGCAAATATTCAATGGACCCAGCTCCAAGAATGTTGTGTGAGCTGAGAGAACTGGAACATCTGATTCTGAAATGCCTTTGGAGAGTGGGTAGAAGCTCACCACTTTGAAATAATAGGAACTAGAATTAGAAAAGCCTGGGTTTGAGTCCCACCATCAATACATACTCATTTTCAGCCTAGATGAATACTTTTTACCTCCGTCCTTCATTCTCCTTGTGAGTAGCTAACATTAGGAGAAGTTTTTTTTTTTCTTTTTCTTTTAATCACATTTAATTTACTTTTGGTTGTGAGGATAAAAGGGGATGGCATATTTGCAAGATGCCCACATCTAGTAAATGCTCAACTAATGGTCATTATTTCTATTATCATGGATATCTTATTTTTAGGATTATCACTATTCATGATATTAATGGTTGGACAAGTTTTATAATTTTTGCTCATGGAGAACTTAGGTAGTAGAAATCAAATGATACACATATGAAATATTTTTTCTGCTACTAAAACAGAACCATCAAAAATAACAATGTGGAAAGTCTCAAGTTTTAGGTGTGATTGGCTGTGTGCATCATCACAGTTTCAGTAAAAATTTACTTTAAAAAAAGTCTAAGATGTTGTATAAGGTGAAGATTTTAGAGATTTACTAAATTTAATTGCTTGTTTCTAATCAATGCCAAATATCCAGGTGAAGTAGAAAGAAATAAAGCAGGTTATAAGCAAGTTATTTCTAGCCTTACTGCCAAGAATCCAGATGTCTAGCTAATAAACTTGCTTTTTTCATTTTCCTTCTGGGGACCTGATATTTTGAAAGCCATTTTGCAGTTGGTTTCTTGTGTTGCTGTAGTGGTGACCTGGTGGGTTACAGGCTACATCATGACATCCTTGAGTGGTATGGGGTGTAGAATTGATTAGAATGAAGGACATACGTAGGAAACAACAACTTGTGGTTGAAAAGCCCTACTGAGCTTCTAGGACAGCCTCAGACATCCAGAGCATCATACCAAAGCCTGCACACAGGTCCCAAGGCCATTGAAAAATTTTAGCTTTGCAGCTCAACGAGAGTAAATAGGCTTGTTTGTGTTTGCCTCTGAAATACATGACTTCTCCCACAAAGAAAAGACAGATATTAATTAAAATTTAGCAAAGTTGGAATGGATCATGCATCCTGTATTAGGCGAAGTTTTTAAAAAATCACAAAAGCCAGTGTGACTTGACAAAAAAAAAAAAGACCCACAGATTTGTTTGCTAAAAAAGGCTCTTATTGCATATAAATCTCATTTAAAGTAAAAAGAGACACCTTTTTTTCTTTGTATTTGAAAGCATTCTAATGACAGTCGAGCCTTTTATAAAATAATATATTGAGTGCATATTTATGTTTTGTTTAATCTTCACCTTTTCCTGTGGATTTACCTCTTTCATGGAGCCATTTTTCAAAAGAAATGCTGACAATAAGTTACTCTGGTGTGCTCTATGGTATTTCACTTTAAACATCCACATGTAGATTAAAGTACAACATCATTTACCTTTCCCAATGTTTAGCATAGAGAAGTGGAAAAAATAGCAATTAAAAGGAAATAGACTCAATAGAATTATAGCACTACTTCCCCAGATTTCATTTCCATCCTGTCAGTCTTCAATGGGATGTTAGTGTAATTTCTCTTTAAATAGGCATGATTTGGAAATGTTCACAGTCACAAGTGAGAGAACAAAATAAGAGAGATTTTCATTTATAAGATTGCCTTTCTCTTATCTACTGGTCTTGTCTCCCAGACTGTCTGTCTGTCTCTGGAAAGCAAAGTCAATAAAAATGATTAGAGTTGGCATCTCACAAATGTACACCCTTAAACCATGAAGCGGTAATGCTGTGCAGGAAATATTTTTTTGACCTTTTCAAATTGCATCCAACTGTCTCGGGAATTTCTCAGGGACTAGAGGTAATAAGGTTCAATCCGTTTTACTGTCTGGCTTCAAATTTAGTTCCTTCAAAGCTCTAACTTATCTATTCTTTGCATCTTGGCCCTAGCATCCATTCAGCACGGGAATCCATGCATCTCATCTCTTTTCCTCTTCTTAGATTTTTTGCTAAAGGATCACACTCTGGAATCTACAGTCATGACGACTTTCCACTTATTGCCCCCTTCAAAAGCAAAATATTAGCAAGAGAAAATTAGTGGGCATTTTGTCCTTTGAGAAGCCCTTGTTGAATTTAACTAGTTAGTAAATTCCATCCTATCTTACATCTGTTTTTACCCATATGATTTGTGTTTTAATCAACTTTATTATATGTAATTTTTTCATATTAATTATATCATAGGCATTTTTAAATTTTTTAAATAGAAGAGGCCAAAATATGCAAATTCCTTTTGTTCTACATCGATTTTGTTTTTTCTTCTGTGAGTCCAAATGCAGCGGGACACACTCCCTGGTAAAGAAGGGAGTTATCCAAGTGTGACATGCTAAAAGGCAGCTGAGTGGCCTCATTCTTCACTGTGTTCCCTGAAGGAGAACAGAAAACAGAAGCTAGGGACACATTCCTTGACCCCATGAAAGCACTGGGTGTCAGGAAGCCTTGACGAGACTTAAAAAGCTTGTCTTACTTTTCATATTCTGAGCATCTCTGTGCAGAATGTGATTCTGGGTGTTCTCTCATTTGTAGAACACGTCATGTTCGAAAGCACACTCTGTCTTGCTGTCTCTGTCCATTGCTGCTTACTGCCTTCTGCAGAGATTAGAATCTTGGCTGGAATTTCCTGTGGTCAGTGGAGCTTGGAGCCTCTTTAGGGCTTGGAAGTCATGTTCATGGGCAAACAGCCATCAGGAGGAGGATGTCTTTTTGAAGTTGCCCTTCTCTGAGAGTGTATTTTCTTGTCCACTAATTTGTCAAGTTTGATCTCATAAAATACGTGGCTTTATAGAAATGAGATTATTTCAAATAGCCCTATTTAGAAAGTAGGCGTGGGGAAGAGGTTATGAAGACAGACTCTTTTTTTATTCACAGCAATGTGCTTTGTCCCTAAAAACACTAAGTATACTCATACCATTGTTCATCTTCATATTAAAGTTTATATATTTTTCCATTTAACACAAAATATTTGGGTTAAAATGAAATCTACAAAATATGTTTAAGAGTAAGTTGCTATTTTGTCCCTGGAAATTTAATCCATCTTAATAATTGAGTCACCCTCCTGATGCTGTCCTTTATGGCTAGCTGGTATTTTATTTAGCAAAGATAAAGTATTCTGGCTGTTTTACCAATTCAGATTTACCCAATATTTGCAATAAGCTTAGTGTCTTTATCACCAGCTGGGGAAGAGGGAAGACTGTCAGGTGCTGTAATTAAAGGAGGTTTGATTCTTGAGTGGAGCTGCAGTGCACCTGAGAGGTTGTTAATGCAGGTGCATGTGTCTGGGTGCACACCAGACGCCCACCACACCTCCGTGTGAGATGCGCATGCTTACTTGAGTTTGGGATTAGAAGGCAGCAACTTTAAAACCAAATGGTTTCTACTCTCTCCCTGTGGATGTCACCTCTTAGTCCGTTGGACACTGGGCTATAGCTATTAAGCCTTTTCAGTTCACAGAGTGGATCTAATCATTATACATTTAGTGTCTCCTCTTTTGCTAAGATACATCATCTTTCTTGCCCTTCAGGACCTGGAAGTAAAACAAAGTCAATGTTCAGACTTTCTAATGGAAGCAGAAGGTGATTTGAATGGGTTGGAAAAAGGAAAGCGGTGGTGCTGTCTGGGGCTGGTGTGTACTGGGTTCTCTTGTTGGCTGGGTGTTCTCAGGGTTTGTGGAATGTCTGGGAAATTAAAGCAACATTGAGATTGAGAGGCCAAGAAAAATAACAGCTACTTTTTATTAGATAACTACTGTTTGTAGGGTGGCTGCTAGATAACTTGTCTAACCTCACTTCATCTTTGCAGGAACTCAGTAAGAGGCACAACTGTCCTCAACTTACAAGGAGACAAGAGGCTTAAAGAGCTTAAAAACTGAATTTCCTCTTAAGTGGCAGGAGAATTGTATGAAGAGAAATATTTTTGCACGGAGAGGAACAAAATAATTCATTTGTTGTGCTGGGTGGCCTCTGGACATTTCCTCCTTTCTCTTCCTATTCTTCCTTCAACACCTGCCATCCTCCTCCCTCACCCCTTTCTGCTCTTCCTCCACTTTACTTCATTTCTCCTTCTCCTTTGTTTTCTTTTCCCAAAGACAGAACAAAGTGAAGCCTCAGAGTTAAGCAATGTTCCATCCAGTCTTCTTCCACAGAATGGCCATCTCTGCCTCTTTTGCTATTGAGTTACTTTCCCTAGAGCTCCTAACATCATTATTTTGAAAGTTTAATGAAGGCCAAGGGTTCTGACTGGTGGTTCATATGCTGGACAGCATACTTTTTTTTTAATTACCTTAAAATGATAATGCAAGTGGCAAGAGATGGTGATTACATGTTGTCCTTACATGCTCACAGGGAACCCTGCCCATCTACCTTTTGTCTGTTAATGAATGGCCAGGGTCAAAAGGGTTCAAGAAAGGATTGAGGAAAGCAGATCCTCAAAAGGACTTTTGTAGGTAGCCCAGGAAAACCGGTTTCTATAAAAATATTATGTTTCTCTATTAGGATATATAGTAAATTAAATTTCTTCAACTATACAACTGAAATATTTTTTTTCCTCTGTTTGGTTTACATGTCTATTACAAAAATAAACATTCTTGATTGCCAAAGCGGGCTTGTTACTATGATGTCAGCTCAATGCAAATATGGACGTGAAGGGATTCAATTTCGCTCTCATGGCAATGTTTAATATACTTCAATTTGTGTCTCAGGGAAGGGGCTTGGCTATTTATCCTGGATAAGTCAGGCTGCTGGGCTGCTCAGCATCCCTTAGACTCCTGATGCTGTGGCCGACAGCCTGACGGGGCATCATTTGTTCCCAGGCATATCAGAAGACAGAAAATTGATTCAAATCTAAGCAGAGTAGTAGAATCTCAAAAGCTGTCACCACCATTCACTGCACATACCCTTTTCCTGGAGTGGGTACTCTGAAAATTCAGTCAACATCTCACTTGTGATAAATATCTTCCTTATAAAAATTTCAGACAGAACTACACAGGAAAGGGAGCCTGGTTTTTAGACACAAATATGATTTCAAGATTTCTTTCTGTGCTTCTCTCTTTCTAACTTGGGTCTTAGGGCTCTTGAATATGCATGTGATCTCAGATCAGGGTTCATGAAAGACTTTATGCTTTGTACAAGGTCCCTTTGATTCTCACTGTCACCCTTTTTGAAACCAAACTCAAAATAATATAAGCCAGCAAGAATAAATCATTCTGAAACAATCTGCCGTACCCAGTTCATCTCCACCACTTTGCTTTCTCTTACTACGGAGGGCAGAAGAGTGACAGCCTCAGCTTTCAATCTGTGCCTTGAGCACCTGCCTCTGGGCTGTGATACCCGGGTAACCTCTGCTTACTGTCAGGGCTACAGCAGTATTTATTTTTCCTTAATTGGAACCCCACTGATACCCTGTGGGATTTCCCCCCTTGGCAAGGCAATATATCCATATAGACCTAGAGCACCACCACCATAGTTGGTTGTAATATTATAGTCAGACGCATCAACATTGGGATCAAAATTAAACCAACACCTAGGCTGCTGAAGTTTCTTGACTGCCTTCTGATATTATTAGGAACTCAACATTTTTTTTTCAGTGTTTATCTTGGAAGGTAAAACAACGTCAGCAGAATTTCAGATTCCATACACTGTCACCCTGACTCCTCTTGCTTTAGTTCTTCTTTGGCTTTGGGCAGTGTGAGAATCGTAAAATTACTATTACCCATAGTGAACAAGGAAACAATGAACATAAGAAGTGTGGACACATTATAAACATTTTTCTATAAGAGGCCTTGAAACCTTTAACTTTATTAAAATTTATTGAATTAACAAGTAAATATCGTCTGTCTAAACTTTTGAGTGTCAAAACAAAGTTCATTTCCTCGGACATCAGAAGGCCACCTCCTTGTCTATATTTATGGCTCCAGCATTTGCATTTGCTTTTTCTTTGTGCTATTTTTATTTTTGCCATTGAAGTTCATGAAGACTTAATCATTAGCCCTCTAATTTTCCAGAAAAAAAAATGTTGATTTATTGAACTGGCTGCAGAAAAGGAAGAAGAAGTTCAATCTGACATTGTAGGTTAATAGTAGGGAACAAAACACATTCATAATTAGAAGAGAAAAGGACTTTCCTCATTCCTTCCAGTTTATAATAAAAAGCCCCTCGCCAAAGTGTCTTAGAAAATAATGCATTCAGACTGAGTAGAATTACCGCCTAGCAGATTCTATTTATCTGTAGCTTAGAAAGCAGCTGCGTTTTTGTAAAAAGCAATGAATGTGGCAGTCCTACTTAAAGGTAGAAGAAAAAGAACACCCCTTGTTTTGTAATAAGGGGATTTTCAATTTAAAAGAGAGAGCGAGCCTGTTGTGTAGAGTAGGGTTATTACATTCACTGTATTCTATCTCGCCCACCAGGAGGCTAATAATGAAGGGGCCAGGGAAGGAGGCCAATGCTACAAGGGTTATCTCACAACCTCAGATGCTGGGTAAGTCGAAGGAGACAGAATCGCTTCTGGATGACATTCAGAAGGCCGGAGCGATTATTTGGGAGAGAAAAGCCTGCCCTATTCTTTACGAGGTAAATAGTTCATCTGTCAGCAGCATTATTCAGTATAAAAATGTGTTTATATAAAGATGTCTATAAAGTTTCCCTTTTTTTAAAAAAAATCATTTTAGGTGCGTGCATATCCCCTGACCTGCCCATCCACTGGTCCAGTGATGAATTATTCGAAACCTGCTTAGACAAAGGCTGCCCTTGGAGCCCCACCACACCCCAAACCACGCTTTGAAGGATCTGCCAAGCTCACTTTTAATCATGAAAAAGAAATTACCCACATGGAGACAGCAGAAAATGAGAAAGTTGAGCTCGTGCTGCGAATAATTCCAGCGAGTGCCAAGGGGCTAGTTGAGGAATGACTTCATGAGGTGAATATCTTTAGCTTGTACTTAGGGTTTGGTTAGCGTATAATCGTTTTCTCTTTTAGGAGCATTGACTATCCTAAGTGTATTTCCTAACCAGTGCTCAGGGCATCTGTCAGGACATTGACAGATTTAATCCTGGTCTCGCCCTTGTTGTTATTTACGATGACTAATTTTACATTTGCAAATATGCAGAAATCAATTTAGGTGGAAAGTTCTCTCTGAGCCTGTGACGGTTCCCAGATGCCTGTATTCGTGTGCATTGCTGTGAGTGTCTGTCCGGTGATCTCTGTCCCTGTGTGTGCCTGCCTGTGCCCTTGTTCTTGTCTTTTCTCTGTTGTGAACACAGGTTGGGAGAATTAGCCAACTGATGGGTACTCAAATGTGATCCAAAGTTTTTCATTTGAGTTTGGAACAGAAAAAAAAAAAAAACAGGAATATATATCACTTCATGATTAATGGTCAATCTGAATTTTTAATTCATGTGAAAGGAGAAAGAGGAGGAGATATGAATCAAATGACAGGACTGACCTTTTCCCTTTGGGACAAGCATGATTCAAATCAAACATCACTTTTGCTGTGAAATTAGTTTGAAGTCCTTTTGTTTGCTTTTTTTCTTTCTTTTCTTTTTTTCTTTTTTCTTGTGGCTGGTTTAACTCCTTGATGTCTGTCCTTGATGTCTGTTCTTTCAAAGAAGTTTCCTTCTGTCCCTGCTTCACACCTGAGTTTATTCCCAGTAGCTCATGTCCTTCTTTTGTTTCATTTTTCTAAAGATCAGATCAGAGTATTTTACTACTTCAGAAGCTTCATTACCCACAAGATAAGATCCTCCCTAAAACGTGCTATTTCTTTGCATCCCAAACTCATGTTCCAATAAAAAGAAGTAAGTAAATAAATAATAAATAATCACTTTCTTGTTCTAAGGCTAATTCGGCTAGGGAGGAGGGAGTGGGAAAGCAAGGTTCTTTGTGAACCACAGAGAAAGAATGCCACAAAACCCCCACATTCTCTCCCAATTCTCTAGTTTCCCACATAGCGGAGTCACAGGATCGCCATGCCAACCTTAAGCAGTTTTGGCTTTGAGCAGGCATGTGCCCGGGCTCTTTCAAACTACCCATTGGTCCTGGTCTAAAGGACTCAGGCCCAGACTTGTAGAAAAAATGCACTATAGGAGAAAAGGCCTGACTGCTGTCCCATTAGTACACTTTCTTAACGCCACAGTTAAGCATCATCAGGACTGAGATGTGGTTGACTCTCTTTTTGGAGTTTGGTGGCTTGTGGGGAAAAAGAAAATACTAAAAGGACTAAGAAATGGGGTTGAGAACAACCAGGGTATTTTCAGAAGGACAATGGGAGGGCTTTTTAATACCGCCTCTAAGGGAAGTAGAGGTGAGGTAGGGGAGGTGAGCCAGCTGGGCTGGTATAAGGGGGTGGAGTGAGCCAGCTGGGGGTAGCGGTAGAGGTGGGGCGAGGAGGTAAGAGGTGGAGGCAGATGAGCAGCTGTGTTTATTTTAATACATATCATTTAACCCTCACCTAAAAACAAATTGGAGAGGTTTGGGAGTGCATTAATCTGGACCCAATTAGCATGTCTTTCTCCTTCAAAAGTGCAACCTGAGATTAATGAATATAAACTAGAGTTTCAGATGCAGCGCTTAAATCATTTGCATGTTTCATGCATGATAATTGAATTTATGTATGCACTTCCTTTCATTTAACTATTTCCAGTCTCCTTGTGATTCACATAAACCAAGAGTCCATTATACTAACCTCTAGGTGGAAATAGCTTGCCTAGACTTTACTGCTAAAGAGAAAATCAAGTTCTTGTTTTTTTTTTTAATTTGAATTTCAATAATACAATACGTTTTTATAAAGCAGAGGGCAGTGTTTAATAGTCTGGTATGCTGTTTGGTAAATAGGCACCTCAGGTTTATTTTTGATAAAAAACAGAAAAATCATGGAAAATTACGACATTGAGTTTTCAGTGGTCCTGGAGAATTGGGTTCAGTGTAGCCACTTAAAAATGTCTTAATAATACCAAGAGCTACGTCAATTTAATGCAGCATAAAAAAAAATGTTCTTGGAGTCTGGACCTGAGCTATTTAGGTTGCTGAGTGATATCAGTGCACATCATTGTTTCTGGCATAGTTAGATATTTGTTTCCATAGCTGGGGTTGGGGGATGGTGTCAGTCTCTATGAGAGGCTCTAGATGAGCAGTTAGCACTTATTGTCCCTTAGTATGTCCCTTAGGCTTGATTCTTTCTTTCCTTTTTGTTATTTAGTTGTAGGAGGCTTAATGCTTACATAGTGCAAGCAGGTACGAAGGCCCTCCTCCCCACCCACCCCCAAATGAAACATCTAAAAATGGGCAGTGGGTATATAAGACAGATTCCTGGGGGAGAAGTTGAAGCAAGAGGCTTGGAATAATTCCCCTGGTTTCAGTTTGTTTCAGTGATCTGTCTGTCTTCTGTCTTTCCTTATGTGTTTCCAAGTTCAATGTCAAAGTGATGAGCTTTTCTCCAGGAATTCTCCCCAGTGTCCTTTGTTTTTGGTGAATTCAATGGCTGAATGTTGCTGAGTGTCTCCTGGTCTTGTTTCTTGGTCCTTGTAGCTAAGAATGTCGTTGAAGGATAAAATCTTGTTAATTTGTGATGTCACAATTTAAGTGTGCTTCCTGTCACTTATGTGTAGTTTAAAATGTTCCTTAATGTAGCATGAAATGATTGGTTAGCTTTGAAATGGTTGTGAAGTCATGTGAAGAAAATAAGTTTTTGCATCCGACCAAGATAAATTCACTCTAGTGCTTTATGGCTTTTTATTCCTATGTGATAGTAATAAAGTCTCATGTAGGGATGGAAGCCATGAAATACATTGTGAAAAATCATCAACTAAGAAGGGGCCATCAGTATAGAGCACGGTAGCCTGTGGAGCTGTGGACGTGATGGAGCGATGACCTAGTGTATAGCTCTGCGACATGCTTGGTGTTCCTGAGTTTCTTTATTCTTAGATTTTTGACGGCTGAGGAATCTAGGTGCCAAGAGTTGGTTCATCTTCGTTATCATTGATTAACATGTACATTCGGGATAGCGCATTTCTGTTTATCATACGTTTTTCTCCGTTCTCTACTAATGAACATCCTCTAGGGGAGCTATGGTAACCCACCACTCTGGTAGGCAGCATTCAATCCTTCTATGCCTTTTTTCCGTCAACTGTTGAGGTCTTACTTCTGAAACAGAAGAAATAAACAAGTCAGATTTACCTTCTTGGAAATGTGGTCCAGATTTCTCTACTCCCAAGCTCCAAAAAAAAAAAAAAAAAAAAAAAAAGGTATACGTTGTATGGGTTAGGGCAACACCTCTTGAATGCCATCAATCCACTGAGCTGTTTTGTGCTGCAGGGGGTGGGGTGGTGGAAGACTGATGACAGAGAAAGGAAGGCAGACTTTGGAGTGGAGCTGGATTCTAGTTGCTCCAACTTCAGCTGTGTGATTTGGGGCAAGGGATTTAAACTGGGTGGGCCTCTTTCCTTATCTTGAAAATGGGGAGCAGCAATTCCAACTTTGTAAGACTATTGTGAGGATAAAATGCATGTAGAGCCTAACAAAGTATTTAACATTATATCTTTTTTAAAGCTCATGAAATATTAGTTTTTCTTCCTTCCTTCCCTCTCCTCCTGTTCCCTTCTCTCTCCCTCCTGTACCCGCCCCTCCTTCAGATGTTAGTCTAAGACAACACCTTTGGATGTAAGCAGCACCTTGAGAAAGAAAAGACTTCTTCAAGAATGTCTTGTTCCACCTCCTTTTCATATGGGCCTTAAATGCCCGGGTTGGATCAATAGTTTAATTTATATATATTTTTTGTACTTGAATTGTTAAAAATTCACTGCTCACTTATATTCATTTTGACTGTTTTCTGTATGTTTATTTTTGCTGGAACTGTTTTAATATTGAATATTGACAAGTACTTATTTTTACTGGCTTTCTGTATTTTTTCAATGGGACTCCTAATAAAAATTATTTGTGTTCTCTTTTGCCTCTCCTTTTCCTCCATATAATGCGATGGGCTTTGAAAATGTCCTCACTTCCCTAAATGGACAAATGGTACCTTTTCCTTAGAAACTACTCATTCATAGTGCCAAAAGAACCATGCCCTTCCTCCCCACATCTGATTTGCATAACAACATGGGGAAATTGTTGTCCATTTAATTCTAACTTTGATGCTTATTTTAAATCTATAAAATTTAGAATTTGACTCTCGCTAAAATCTGTAAAATAATTATAGATAAGGAAAAGGACTTTGCAAGGACCCCAATACTGGTAACTCCTTTAAATTACAGAATAATGTAAATGTATTGCTCTCAAAAACAGAATATAGTGAAGGAAATCCATGATACCACACATGCCTCCAGAGTTCTTCTATTATAATCATATTCATCTTTTAAATCTGATATATTCCCATTTAAATCCTATATTTCCAGGTCTTTGTAATGCCCATGAAATTTAGGAGATATTCAAATATTTGCAAATAAATGAAAGGAAAAGAAGAGAGAACAAGGTTAGGAGGAGTGGGTGGAAGCAAGGAAAAACAATGAGGACAATTAAAAAGTAAAAAACAAAACAAAAAAAAAAAAAAACAGCCAGGCTCTGTGTCACACATGTGTAATCCCAGCAATTAAGGAGGCTGAGGCAGGAGGATTGCAAATTCGAGGTCAGCTCAGCAAATTAGTGAGGCCCTGTCTCAAAATAAATAAATAAAAAGGGCTAGGGATATGGCTCAGTGGTTAGGCACCCCTGGATTCAATCCCTGGTATCAAAAATAAATAAAAAAAATAAAAAGTAAAAGACTGTATCATGATGGGAAATATATTTTAAGTTTAGGGAAGCAGAGCAAACACTCAAACACAGATAAAGGGCCACTTCAAGAATGAGATGAATTTAAGTTTGCAATATGATAGAGTACTAGGCCACTCAATAATGTAATGTAATATGAATGGCATAGACAAATTACAAGTAGGTATCCAGAGCAAGAAAAGTTCCCCAGAATCAGAGAAAAACCATCAGGAGTTAGAATGGCAGTCAAATTTCTTAAGCAAGAGTCAAGGAATTCATGAAAAGCTCCATTGAGTGGTTCTAGGAAAATTTTCCAACACACAAAGTATTCTACCCTGGAGAATATATTTACTTCTAAATATCTTTACAAGTACCATTAGAAGCAGATATTAGATTTTAATGGACACACTTAGATAAATTAATGAGTGCTGAGTCTCAGTGGGCTGCAATTAGCTATTGCCCATGTGGGACAGGATGAGTGCAAGCTCTCAGCATGCCAGTGATTTCAAGGACAACCATGTATGTACTCCTTTCCCCCTCCTGTCCTCTTGTAGGGTTGTATTTAACCTCCAAGTCTTGGTGTAACTCTGAGGCAACTTGTGCAAAACCTGTTATCATCAAGAAGGGCTTGGCACCTCCCAACAGCACTGGCCTTGGTAGGGTTATGGGCTGGCCATAAACGTCACAGAGTATTCCTATGTAAATACTCCAGTGGAGGTTACCTGTGTTGGCCATTGGAGCACAACACTATGGTGAACAGTGATCTCACTCAGCAAGTAAATGAGTAAGTCTCCC